TATTTTTGATGAACCAAAGGTTACACTGGGTAGCGTAATGATGCAAAATGGATAGGGCTATATAACGTGCATTAAAGAATGAAAGATTTTATTTTCTGGTTTGGGGAGTGACTTCTTAGTTTTTAAAATTTGTTACACCTTTTAAGTCTGAAAGTACAACTTTAATGTGTCTCACTCTTTGAAATGACTGGATCCATGCTGTTATTTTTCAGCCATTTCAGCCACTGAAATTCAGCATTGTGGTAAGAGAGGACTCAGGGGCTGCAAAAAATAGATTTGGAGTTCACATGTGATCCCAAGGTTATTCATCTCTGAAATAACAAAACATAAGCTACTACTAAATTGTTCATCTCACACATTTTCAGAATGTAATAGTAGCAGTGATGCCCTCACACCATTTTTCCAGTCCCTATTGCCTGCAGATTTCCAATCATTGTGGATTTCCAATCCTTCAGGTTTCCAATCTGAACACAATGCTCTGAAGGTGGTTTTTTTTTTTTTTTGCACACTTAGCTGAATGTATTTAAAATCTTTTATGCAGTTGTAAGTAGTACAGGCAGGAACATCAGAGAAAAGGCCACCATTCTTTTCACAGATTTAGATGATGCATGTAGCAAACACTAGAAGAGGACTAAAGACAATTGAGGATATCAATTAGATAAATTCTGACCAAAATGTTATAATAGTTACTTTAAGGAAGGAACTTATCATTAAAGGAAAAGACCAGTAAACAGTCTGCTTTGTGCAATTTGTGCTAGGGAAAAAAAGTTAATATAGGGTTTTGAAGAATAAGTCTATTTAATGAAGAGAAGATAACTAATACAAGTAATCGCACTGAACGTGGAAAGTACAAGAATGCATTTTTATGTGTATATTTCCCCAAAATTTCATTAAGAATTACTGATAAGTAACTATGGGTATCTTTGTAGCTAGACTGGACAAACATACAGTATATAGCACACATTATGCTATCATATAGCTTCTAATTTAGCAACATTAGTAGATACTTATGTGGTGTAACCATGTTAGCACCCACCAATGACAGCATTATTCATTACCATCATTACATTAGCCATGCACCAAGTCACCGATCAATGTTAAGTGATGACTGAATGAAGTTACAATGTTCCCTAATGCTACCTAAAATAGATAGACAGGCAACCATAAAGAAACTATTACATTCTCTCCTAGTCCATAATGTATCAATGCATATGTTGATTGGGCAATTAAGTCTGGGCAATTAAGTCCTCTGTCAAATTACTCTTGCTATGAGGAAATGTTTTCTAATATTCATTTGGAATCTGTCTTCATGAAACTGAAATCCATATTCTGGGTCCTGTTTTCAGGAATGATGGAGTCCTTTTTCCATTTGACATCCTTTCCAGGGATATCAAGAGTGCTATCTTATTTTCCTTTAGTCTTCACTTAATAAGGCTAAACTTTCTAAATTACTCCACTTTCTCTTCATAGGACTCCCCTGATTATATTCAGTTCCATTCTTCAAACCAGTTCCAGTTTGCCTGAATCCTTCTTAAATTGGGGGCTTAGAACTGGACACAAAACTCAAAGCAAACTGCGACCAACATAGAATAGCGTGGAACTCCAATCACCCATGATTTGGAAATTATATTTCTGGTAATGTGGCCAAAAACTTCATTTGCCTTTTTTGCAGCCACATCATGCTGCTGGATCATATTTAGTTTGCAGTCAACTTGTGGGTGGAGGGAAGGGAGATAAACCTGGAACCTAAATCTTTTGAGCTGTGTCCTGGATCTTTTGAGGTATTCCTATAACAAAACTAATTTTAATATAAGTCTGTCTCTTTCTTCTGGGATCTAATCTTGTCCTTGTTATGAGTTCTTCAAAACTCATTTCCTTAGTAGTAGAACACTAAGGCCACAGTAGATTACTGGGATGCATACAGAAAATAATAATAATTTATTAAATTTATATGCCGCCCAACTCTCAATGATTCCGGGTGGCTCACAACAATCAAACAAATTACAATCAAATAAATAAAAGATGGCAAGCATGATGAAGTGTGGGGGTCTCACTCTTCCTTGCCAAAGGCCTGAGTGAAGAGCCAGGCCTTCATGGCTCTCCTAAACAACAGAAGACGAAAAAAAACATTTCATCACCATTGTCATCATCTTTTATCTGTATTTTTTATTGATTTTATTGTAATTTCTTTGTTGTGAGCCACCCGAGTCATTGAGAGTTGGGTGGCATAGGAGTTTAATTATTACTATTATTATCATCATCATTAAAAAAAAAATCTCTATTTTTCATTATCACTCCATCCTTTAAAAACTAAAGTAAAAGTATAAAGAAGGTACATATAAAAGCTGTAAACTGAGCATCGCTTAAGTTGTGATGATACCACAAAACATACTTTTCATATATTGTGTTTAGTCTTCACAGGAGATGGGGAAGCTAAGCAAAAAATATTATTCTAATACATTGTATCTTGTCCTTCCTCCTGAATTTCCCGTGTAAGTTCATAAGCATTATATCGTGCTATATCTTCACAGACTTTTGCCTGTCTTCAATTTTTTCTATAACTGCAGTAGGTTACACAATACTATCTGTTGGAACGTTGGTATTGCCTCCCTGGTGCTGCCAGAAAATGTAAACCTTTTTAAAAAGCATTTTATAGGTTAACAATCAAGAAGAAAAAAGCTTTCAATCTTATCTCTTTTCTGTAGATGTTCCCTTGTAGTTATTCCCATTTCAAAGTAGTCCCCTGGGGGAAGACTTCTTGAACAATTTATAGTTCCATTTTTCCCATTTTTCTATCCAACCTTTCTACCACTTCTTTAATCTATCCAGAATTACCTTTTGGATAGTTCCTAAGAAGACCATTAACTTCAGCATCTTAAATTATCTAACTGTACTGCTGGAGATCCTCATCATTCTGTAGATGTTCAGGGAAGCCAAATGCTAAAATCATTCAGGGTGAGGGGGAAAAAAATCCACATACTGTATTCTTAGATGAAATTTAATGTTATTTTGTTTACATTTGTGAAACCCTAAACTTCTATTGAGATCTAGTTTGGTGTAGTGGTTAAAGGCACCAGGCTAAAAACTGGGAGACTGTTGAGTTCTAGTCCTGGCTTAGGCAGAAAGCCATCTGGGTGACCTTGGGCCAGTCACTCTCTCTCAGCCCTAGGAAGGAGGCAAGAGCAAACAACTTCTGAAAATCTTGCCAAGAAAGCTGCAGGGACTTCTCCGTGTAGTTGCTAGAAGTCAAGACTGACTTGAAGGCATAAAACAAAAACCTCCATTCTAAATTTGCACCTACAGTATACATGAAATTAATACATCCAATTTTGTGAAAACCTGTGGGATGTGGTCCTTCTCTTTTAAGTACTGTATCTAGCAATTCCTTGAGTTACACTGAAAGGGGCAGCAGAACTACAGTATATCATGTCACTAACCTAACCCCAATGTCTGTGCTTTCAATGCCAGTTCTGAATGCTACACCCCAAGGATCCTGGTAGGGCTGGACAGCCAGCCACACAGAGGTCCAGCTTCCATGGAGGCTTTATAAATGCAGACTGTCCTTTATCTGATGGACATTCCTAACATGAATAGCTTCTTTATGTGAACACCATGTGGAGGAGGGTTGCAAAAGAGATATTAGAAAGGCCTTTCCAATGAGAAATAAGAACACACATATGCCTGGTGATTGCTTTTATACTGAGATGATAAGCTTATTTCTTAGCCCCATAGTTATCCATAATGGGTCTTCAAGAAACCTTCCAACTATTGCCCTCTCAGACCAATGGAGTCCTTGCAGGCTTTTCCTGAGACATTGCTAAAACTTCAAAGAGATTTCTTAGATGCTGAAAGACTACTGCTACTCCTGCAAAAAAAGCCTTGGTAGCCACTGAGGTGGACAGAAATAGCTTGCCATTTGCTCTTCTTCCCTGTGCCCACAATGAAATGGTGAGACTGAAGGTGCTTAGAATAGTATCTGGCAGCACGAGATGCAGAGTTGCTAGGAGACAGATGAAGGTGGATGGATTTACCCAAAGCAGAATCCTTCAGGTATACCAGAAGCTGCAGCATTCAGGGTACTGCACCCTAAGCAGGAGTGCACAACACTGATGGCAGAAGGGGGCAGTGCCTGATGGTCAGGGGGATTCTGAGGGGAGAGGAGATTTTTGTGCTGGGACATACCTCAGAAGGACAGCCAAGTAGATGCAGAGATCAGTGCTGAGCCTGGAAAGGACGGTTTGGTAGGCAGTTCTGGAAAAAGGTAAATGCGATTGTGTGGGGGAAGAGGATGGTGGGGCTGCGGCAGCCTGAAAAAACAACTTGTTTATATCCTGGACTTTGCAGCCTTGCTGCAGTCCTATTACTCACCTTGGATTCCTGTGTTCGCAGCTGAATTCTGCCTTCTCTCTTGTGAGTACAGTACCTGGGATAGGGGATGAGGAGAAGAGAATGGGCGTAGGGGCGGGGGCGGGCAGCAGAGGAGTCAGTCTGCTTTTCCAATGTGGGATATTGCTGCAAAGGCAGAAGCGCAAATGCAGACTCCGCTTTGTCCTTGGGAAGAATTCGCGTGGCGGAGAAGGACGGAGCTGAAGCAAGAGAGAGGTCGCGCCAGGGGGTCTAGAGGAGAGGCGTTAGTAAATGTTACCCCCTCCCCCCATGGCTCTTGCTCCAAATAGGAAAAGGAGTTTGGGGGTGGGGTCTTCCAAGAGAGAGGTGATGAAAACACAGGAGGATTATTGCATATTTGCAAGAGCAGCAGCGACCTTGGGAAATATCGAGCAGGAAGCGGGAATGAGTGCGAGGCAGGGAAGGAGGGACGGACGGCGGGAGAGCGCGCGCGCGAGCCAGCGAGCGATCTGGAACTGACCAGAAAAAGTAAACGCACGAACAGGAGGGAAGGGGGGTCGCATTTCTCAAAAATCGCTTAAGCTGGAAGTCCAAACACCTCGAGGAGAAGGAGTTTTCTCAGTCTGGCTGAGAAGCAGGATTCCTTTTGGAAGAGCCTTCCTTTCTCATTCTTATATTTCACTTTTTGGATGGATAGCTATCGCTCAGTTAAGACCAGAATGTTGCTTTTAGGAGATGTTTGTGGAGTGATGGATAATAGTAGTAACAACCACCACCATCACCACAATACTTACTGCAGCAGCAGCAGTAGCAACAAACGTGGACCTCAAAGACCGCTCAGTCTTATCGTCCGTTTTGTAGCTCCGGATGTCAGAGCAGAGCAGCACCAAAGATGGGGATGCAGACTCCCAGCATGGCTTACATATGCTGGTTCTGCTGGTCCTGGTCTTCTTCGTCATGGGTCTGGCGGGCTTTCTCATTTGCCATATCCTAAAGAAAAAGGGATACCGCTGTCGGACATTCCGTGATGAATTTGACTCTGACAACAAGGAATCACTGACCCAACTCCAAGATGGTAAGTAACGGGTGGAGGGTAGGGGTGGGGGAGAGACTAAGTTTCTTGGCAGCATCCTGCAAGCCAGTTGTGATGATGACTTAGTCAAGCCTGAAACTGCTCCTGAACTCAGAAGGCACAGGCATGGCGTTTTAAAATAAATTCACTTGGGCAAGTAAGATTTAGGATGATATGCAAGAAAGAATCACACTTATATGGTGGGTTGGTGGAGGACTCAGAGTTTTCAGATTGGCCTCCCCCAAATTTGGCATCTCCCACCCATCTTCTACATATGCCCGTCTCACACAAGACAGACCTATACTTGCCTTGCACCTCTGTAAGAGGTACTGTTATTTCTAAAATATATAAAAATAGTTCCCAGTCTAACATGTGTTGGGTTGGAGTTACTACCAATTTTTTATCATTTAAGGTAAATTGACACAGAACCAAAGTGAACTTACATCAAAGCAGAATGTATACAGTTGTCTTTTCTACTCTCCCGGGTTTGCAGCTCATTTAGCTTTATAGTGGAATTATACTGTACTGGCAATCACATGCCTCAGAAATCTCCCCAACCAGGTGGGCTTTGGAACCAGGCTGTGGGAGACAGTGTGGGACTGGAGCAATAAAGGGAGGCAATCCGGTCCCAGCCACAGTCATAGGCCCAGGGCCCTCCAGGTTTAAGAGCTGTTCGCATTAACGGAGATGATTCAATTTCATGTGAACTACCAAAGGAATCATGGTATTGGCATAGGCAGTGATACCTGAAGAAGCCAAAACAGAGAGGTTTGTTAGGGTATGCAATAAATCTTCACACTTTCAGCCAAAAAACTTTTAATGAGACTAATGATTGTGCAGGTTTAGAGGGGAGAACAGTTTCCCAAAATCCTGAGCATTTCTTGTGCTATTTCCAACTCTTCCTCTTCCTCTTCTTTTGAAGAAAACAGTTCCATTTGTCTTGAAATTGTCTGATACTAAAGAGACTTTAAAATTTGACTTTATTAACGTAGGTTTCAGTGTTAATATCATACACGTATCAACAATTTAGTGATAAGAAACTGCATCTCAAGTTTTCTAAATAACTTATACTTTTATAAACATGCATTTCCAAATGTGTATAAAATGCTACTTTGTGCTATGACATGTGGTACATCATGTAAGAGGTACACTCTTGTGGCTTCATGGGCATATTGTTTCTAAGAGTAAGTATTATGTCACAAGAGAAATAAACTGGCTAGAAAACAGAAATTACCATAATACTGCTAGCAGGGTTTTTCTTACTACTCTTCATGTTAAAAGTTACAAACTAGCATTGTGAGAAACATTTCTTTATATGACATCAAATACTTTAATATGTAAGGAGATTAAGTTGCTTTATACCACTGTGAAATGGAGAAAAATCGAGTAGGCAACCAGCATCATAGAAAAAATGGAAGAAGTAATGGGACAGCAAGTGGAATTGCTGGCTAAAGGTATATTGGCATCTAACTTTTGCTGTTTCTAAAGTCTCCCATGAGATTCTTATATAGAAGATGGCAAAATTTGGGCTGGAATATGCTACCATTAGATGGATACAGAGCTGGTTGAACAATCATATCTAATAAGTGCATGGCAATGGCACCAGTGGTATAGTGCAGGTTCCATTTTATGTCCTGTACTGCTCTGGGTGTCTTAGTGGATCACAAGCTGAACATGCAGTTGGAGAGGGAGGGATGGAGGGAGGGAGGGAGGGAGGGAAGGAAGGAAGGAAGGAAGGAAGGAAGGAAGGAAGGAAGGAAGGAAGGAAGGAAGGAAGGAAGGAAGGACATCCTAAGCCGCATCAGCAGAAGTATGGTGTCAGAATTAAGAAATCTCATTATTCCTGCCCTTTCTTCATTGGTTAGACAGCACCTACAATATTTTGTCCAGTTCTGGACACCAAGTTTTAGGAAAATCACTGACAAACTAGATTATGTGCAAAGGATAGGGAACATGGAATGAAAATCTATGAGGAATGTTTGGAGGCATTAGATATGTTTAACCTGAAGAAGAAAAGATGGTGTGGATACACCATAGGTGTTTTCAAGTCCAGTATCTGAAGGGCTGTCATGGACAAGATGGGGCTGAATTGTTCAAAGTTGTCCCAGAAGACGGGGGAAGAAACAATGGGTTTAAATGGCAGGCAACTAGATTTTGGTAGGACATCAAGAAAATATTCAATGATAAAAGCTGTTTGAGAATGGAATGGGTTGCCTCGGGAGTTGGTGGACACTCTTTCACTAGATGTGTCTGTCTAAACATGAGCTGGATGGATAGATTCCTGTACTGGCCTAGATGAGCTCTAAGTTCTTTTCTGAAAGGGGCAAAATAATTGTTCCATGGATATTATAAAATGTTATTGTTATTGTTACATACAGTAATTGTTATAATAATATTACAGTTATAATAATAGTTTATGATTATTAAATGTAGAAGACTGTGGCTCAGCATTTTATATCATAAAATGGACAGTACAGAAGAATCCGTTTTCAGTGGAATTGAGATGTTATTGCTGCCAGCCTATTGCATGTGGTCATCCTGCTTTCTTCAGATCTTTCGAATGGTTTTTCGAAATAAACTGCATTCATCAGCATGGTCGTTAAAAACTACTATTGAGACCTTTCCCTGCCACAGAGGACTTTCCATCTTTTTGAGGTAGCACCTTGGTTTGGTATCCTTCATTAAACAGTCCCTTTAGTAAGTCAGCCCTTACAACTGATTTTTTTTTGCAACCAAATTAACATTCATTCATTCATTCATTCAATTTTTTATTACAATTAAACATGAGCAATTGTTCTAGCTGAAAAAAATTAAACAAATAATAAGCACCTGAAGTATTACCTAGAATTTCCAAACCCTGCATAATGGAAATAATTGACAGAAGGACCAGTGA